CCCTCCTGGGCCGATGCCACTTGTCCCGGAGTTGTAAGAAAGCCCAACAGCATTGATCGCTCCTTCAGCCCACCCGGTTGATATGTAGTAAAGATTTTGAAGACAATGTTGACAGTGCACATGTTTCTAGAAGCAATAATTTCTTCGCGCAAGGCATCCGGCACACTACGAAGGAGCATAGAAAGCGCGCGATTCTCAAGACGTGAATACCTAGGGTGACGCATGGGATCCGGAAGATTGGCCTGAACCTGAGCCTTCAATAGTGGGCTAGCCGTTTGCCACCGCTCATAAACACGCTCCGCAGCTTGCAACACACTGCCCCAGTATTCATTCGCCGCCGGCGCCAGATCATTCATCATGGGCGTTATGACGGTAAGCCAATCACCTGCCTGCAAAGGCGCCTGGCTGGGGTCCAACTCAGGAAGCTTGGGGAGCTCCCAATAGGTCTTATCCCCTGGGCTGTAGACATCCCGCCCTGGGCGCCCCTCCCCCCCATTTCCATGTTCTGAGAGAGTAGGAGAAGCAACACTACGCGGATAGTCAGTAGTAGCCACATGCGGTGCAACCGACTGTCCATGCAAAATATCCCCTGCACTCCAAACCCCAAGATTTCCAGGAGAAAGAGCATCGAAAGGAGAACATGAACTTGACGGCACACTTGCTGCACATGCACTCATGTACTGCTCACGAAAACATGGACTGTCAGCACATGCCCTCATGTTCGGAACATCAACGACTGGAAACTGTGGTCTGACTGGCACTCTGTGGCCGGCGTTCAGCGCTGAATCATGCGAGTCCAAGCCCACTGCCCCGTCCACAGCTCCCCGATTCAAAAACCCAGGCAGCCCTGACCGCCCTTCTGGCACCAATCCGTTGCAAAAACTCCCACCAAGCGAGCCCGTTGACCCCGAATGCAAATGAGAGCCCTGCTGACAACCCACCGAGGCCGAATGCAGGTGAGAAGCATCCCCTCCTCGATTCCTGGCGTGGTCAAGCCTTCCCACTCCCTGATCCTGAAAACCGCCTGTGACTGTTGGGTCTTGCAGTGGCGAAGCCTGTAAAGCTGCAGAGACATGAACATGTTCCAACTGCGGCGCGCTCCGGAATCCGCCACCAGCAAGGGTCAGTGCTTCAAGAGAATTTCTTCCTCCACTTGAACCCCCCGCAAGCGTCCTAGAGGCTGCCCCATCCCTTCGCATAAAGTATTCCTCCCAAGCCTGCTTAGCAGCCTCTTCGGACAAAGCCCGGTTCTCAAAATGCTTTTTGACAGCCCTCAATTCGTCGTCTGGCATGCGAAGAATGCGTCCCAACAACTCCGACTCATTCATACGAGGGGTTATGCCTTGCCCATGGACCCCAGGGAGCCCCAAGGCCCCATGACCCTCGCCATCGGTTGGTGGGGGAACATCACCTATGTAAAAATACTGGCAACCGGTACCGCCTACTGGCATCTCGCTTGGACTCTTGGCCACACAGCCCTGTCGAGTACATTCACCCTCAAATTTCCGGACACTGGGAACCAAGACACTAGGAATCCCACTATCCCTGTCCTCAGCTCCCGCACCTCTACCCTGAAACTTAGACTCATGGAAGGTCACATCTCCGGAGTGACCAGAAGAAGCTGACTTCATCGCCATCTCCTCCTCCAGCTTGTCCAATCGAGCAGAGGTTTTACGACCTTGCTGAACCAAATCCTGCAGAATATCTCGCATGCTCTCTAAGATTGCCCTGTCTGCCTCCAGCTGTGGTTGACGAGCCCGAGAAGGTCTGTCTCCCTCTGTAGTCTCGCCCCCAATGCCTACTGGTGATACTTCTGGCAATCTATCGGCAACA